TCCATTCACCTCAGCCTCCCAAAGCGCGGGATTACAGGCTGAGCCACCGAGCCCGGCTGAACTCATATATTTTTTAAGAAAGCTGTTCCAAAATTTCATGGTAAGCCCTGTACATTCTAGGTTCCTGGATTCTGACATTGTTGGAATCTGTGTTCCAGTATATGTTTAAGATCAAAACTGAACCTCATTGGGTTAGAATTGTGTCACTTTTACCAAGCAGAGGAGGTGTATGGTGCAGTAAGTCAGAGACAGCAAACAGCTGCACTCCAAGCAAAAGCAGCCTCTCCCCTCCAGTAAATTCTGAGGTCTCTTTGACAGTATGAAACAAATGTCATGATCTAGAGCCAGAGACCATCTTTCCTTAAGGAATGACCCATTTGGAAAGTGTTTTAACTCTTTCACATAGGAATAAACTTTGAAAAAAACGGAATAATACTTACCTCCTTTAATAAACAATAAAGAGAATACTAATAAATTAATTTATTGTTACCACACATTTGGAATATCAAGAAATAGGCTGCAAAAAATCAGAAAAAGGTAGTGAATATGTGAAAAATGAAATAACTAGTAAAAACAAACCTAAAAGAAACTGGACAGTCTGGGCAACTTGGTGAGACCTCGTCTCTAATAAATCAAAAAATCAGCTGGGCATGGTGGCACACGCCTATAGTTCCAGCTACTTGGAAGGCTGAGGCAGAAGGATTACCTGGGCCCAGCAGGTCTAAGGTTGCAGTGGCCGTGAGCGTGCCATTGCACTCCAGCCTGGGTAACAGAGTGAGACTCCGACTCAAAAAAAAAAAAAAAAAGCTGGGAAGAAAAAGTCCAAGTTAAAGCAGAAGAAAGTACCATAAGAGTTTTTTTAAATTATAAAGTACTTTAAAGACAAAGTACTTAAGGACAGATGAAGAACCTCCTATAATAATCATCAGAATCTGAATAATAAAGTAAAAGAGTCCCCTTAGTGCACTGTAAAGTATGCAATTTTAATTATGTGATTTTTCTAGCTAATTTCTGCTTCAAAAACAGTAAAGTACTTCTGCTTACAAGGTGGCGAGACAAGAAGTTTTCTCAACCTCTCATATGCACGGTGTCATCAAAATTTAAATTACCAGAAACATGCCTTTTAGTTAAATTACAATTAGCCCCTAAACAGATCCATTTACTGAGAACCCATGATGTGCCCAACACTATCGGCATATACTAAACAACAGTTTGCTTTTCTGAAGTACTTTTTCCTTTTTAGGTTCTCACAAAGGACATTCTAAAATAAACTATATTTGTTTTTCAGCATTAACTGCATGTACTGAATACACCTATTATCATAAATTGTTCCTACTCAGAAGAACCCCAGCTTTTAAAAGATAAAAGAATGTCCAGTTGTCTTTGTGTATATGTATTTTACATCAGTTATGTATGGAAGTCAATCAACAATAATAAATACAAACAGATTGACCAAATAAAACAACAATTTTTAGGGAATGAAAATGGCAGACGATGTCCACAAATAATTAATTACTTTAGCACATTAAAGATATTCTTTTAATGGTAGAATTTCTTATAAAAAGGATACTCATTACACTGTAACCATCTGTCATCATTTCTCCCCAAAAAACTAATTAGGGTTTCATCCAATCACACTTTATAAATGAAGCAAATATGAATGGTAAAAACACAGTTTAAAGAAGCTAACATGATAACATTTGTAGTTTAAAAGTCATGAGCATCAGAATTAGCCTACTGTGTTCTAATAATTAAACTGCTTATTTTTCTCACCATTTCCTGATTATTACATATTAAACTTTAAAAATTAAAATTTAAAAAAACTTACAGGTAGTAGAGTTTCCCTGCAGCAGGAAGTTCCCTTTTCCGGTAATCTATTCCAGAATCCAGCTGGACCGTATTACAATATTCCTACAATCCAAACACATAAAACGCCTTTGAAACAAGTAGTGGCTCAGAATTATAATCTTTCTGTTATACCATGTATTGTTTTAATTTTAAAGTTTTTTACTTAATAGAATAATATAGTGAGATTAAGAAAAGCAACAGAAACCATGTAAAATTCTTAAAACTGAAATTTGCAATATTAAACATATATCAAGTCATTGAAATATCAGTTTAAAAAATTAAGATTTGCATCATGTTTTACTGAAACTTTGCCAAAATAATGCTGTCAACAAATTCCCCACAGAACTGCATTAGGGCATTATTTAATTATTTTTGTAGTTGCCCAACTTCCATCTGGAGTAAGAAGCTAGAGTTTACCAGAAAGAATCACTCAAGGGTCTCAGGCACCACAATGGGAGAGAGGCACCTAAGACAGCTGGGCCAGAACATTAGCACCTGCATTTAAACCAGAAGACCCAATTAAAACGATGCTGCAGGTCTCCCTGTCCTTCACTTCTAACTGGCTGTGGCTGCCCTTGTCCCTCAGTTTCCCCTCCAGCCATCAACATGTCCAGTGTCCTTTGCCACTGTGGAAGCTTCCTTTCAACCTGTCATACTGTACCACCATGTCTTATCTTCTCCTTTCTTTCCATCCCATCAAGGTACAAATGTGCACACAAACGTACCTACCACACACACCCCAAAACTCATACTATGAGAGCAAGTGAACTTTTGCTACACACCTGTCTCAGTCTATTGAATTTTGGGAGGGAACAGGAAAAAAAAATATATATATATGTATATATATATATATATATATATTATATATATATATGCCAAAAAATGCATACTCATTTTTTTTTTTTTGAGTTGGAGTCTCACTCTGTTGCCCAGACTGGAGTGCAGTGGCCGTTCCCGGCCACCACAGCCTCGACCTGCTGGGCTCCGGCGATCCTTCTGCCTCAGCCTTCCAAGTAGCTGGAATTACAGGCATGTGCTACCACACCTGGCTGATTTTTTTGATTTATTGTAGAGATGAGGTCTCGCTGCCCAGGCGGGTCTCGAACCCACAGGCTCAGGCAATACACTCACCTCAGCCTCCCAAAGGCACGGGATTACAGGTTGAGCCACCGAGCCCAGCTTGCATACACATTTTAAGAGATGTTATTTATGTATTACTTTCCAAAGTTGAATTAAACTACAGCAGTATATGAGATTCACTTAACCATGCTTCCGTCATTTTCTTTAACAGTCCTGCCTGTCGCATGGGGATGGTAGCATTCATTTGATTAATGCCATCTTTTGAATGAACGGCATACTTAAAGTGTACATACATTTTTTTTGGCACTCCATGTATGTGTGTGTGTGCGTGTATACATATATATGTGTGTGTGTGTGTATCTCCATATATATACACACACACACACACACACACACCAACACAGATCCAGGCATACCTTGTTTCACTGCATCTGTATTGTGCTCACAGATATGGCATGCATTTTGTACAAATTGAAGGTTTGTGACAACCCTGCATCAAGCAAGTCTATGCGCCAGTTTTCCAACAGTATAGGCTCCCTGTGTGTCTCTGTGTAATGTTCTGGCAATTCTCACAGTATTTCAAACTTTTCCATTACTATTATATCCGGTTGGGCAATCTGTGATCAGTCACCTTTTGTTAGTATTGTGATTGTTTTAGGGACCCACAAACCACACCCTTGGAAGACAGTGATCTTAACAAATGAGTGTGTTCTGACTCCTCCACTAACAGGCCATTTCCCATTTTTTCTCCCTCTCTTTGGGCCTCCCTGTTGCCTCAGACACAATGACATTGAGATTAGCCCCATTAATAACACGATGATGGTCTCCCAGTGTTCACGTGAAATGAAGAATCACATATCTCTCTTTTAAATCAAAAACTAGAAATGGTTAGGCTTAATGAGGAAGGCATGTCAAAAGTCAAGATAGGCCAAAAGCTAGGCCTCTTGTGCCAGTCAAGTTATGAACGCAAAGAAAATGTTTTAGAAGGAAATTAAAAGCGCTATTCCAGTGAACACATGCATGAAAAGAAAGTGAAACAGGGTTGGGCATGGTGGCTCACGCCTGTAATCTCAGCACTTTGGGAGGCCAAGGTGGATCACTTGAGGCCAGGAGCTCAAGATCAGCCTGGGCAACATAGCAAGACCCTGTCTCTATTAAATATGTGTGTGAAACAACCTTACAGCTAATATGGAGTGCTGGAGTCCAGCTCCAGCCGAGTTCAGGGTACCCCAAAGGTGGAGACGGTGTTGGCGATTGGGGGGAAGAAGAAAGAGAGAAAGAGAGAGAGAAAGAGACTGGACCCCAGTCTAGTGCAGAAGCCATTTAATGGGAATTACAACTGGTCTTTTATACACAGTCGGGTGTGTGAGGGGTGTTCCCCACCCACCGGATGTTCTTTCAGGTATAATCCCATAACCCAATCAATGAAACCTTAATCCATTTATTCAACTTCAATAAATCCTAAGATCATGACCCAGAAGCCTGTGACCAATACTAAGGCTCTTAGATGTGACCCGAGTTTGAATTATAAGTTGTGTGAAAGCCAAAACTGCAGTTTGTGGAAGAATGGGAGCAATAGCTTCTAAAGTTAGCTTGTGTTCGTCCCAGTCTCAGAGTTTTTATGTTTTGAGTTCACAGGAGCTTAATCTGGTTAGTGCTGAGTAGAAAGGGAGAGGAAATGGGGTCAATAGCTCCCGAACGCATCCTAGTGGTCTCAGGGCCAACGGCCCTTCCTGATCCCTAATGCTCAGTGGGCTTCCGTGGCTGGCTCCCAACAATGGAGAAAGTCTGAGTTCTGGATAGATCAGACCCACCACAATATTCCTTTAAACCAAAGCTCCCTCTGTTTTGGGGAAGCCCTGCAGGGCCTAAACTGTCTTCAATTCTGTGAAGTCTGAAAGAGGTGAAGAAGCTGCAAAAGAAAAGTTTGAATCTAGCAGAGCCTGGTTCATGAGGTTTAAGGAAAAAAGTCGTGTCCATGACATAAAGGTACGAGGTGAAGCAGCCAGTGCTGATGGAGAAGCTGCAGTAAGCCATGTAGAAGACCTAACTAAGATAGTTGATGCAAGTGATTACACTAAACAGCGGATTTTCAGTGTATATGAAACAGCCTTCTATTGGAAGAAGATGCCAACCAGGGTTTTTATAGTTAGACAGCAGTCAATGCCTGGCTTCAAAGCTTCTAAGGACAGGCTCTTTTGTCCGGGACTAGTGCAGCTGGTGACTTTAAGGTGAAGCCAATTCTCATTTACCATTTGGAAAATCCTAGGGCCCTTAAGAATCATGCTAAATCCACTCTGCCTGTGCTCCATAAATGAAATAAAGCCTGGATGGCAGCACATCTGTTTACAGCATGACTTACTGAATATTTTAAGCCCACTGCTAAAACCACCTGCTCAGAAAAAAAAGATTATTTTCAAAAGATTACTGCTCATGAAGAATATACCTGGTCACCCAAGATCTCTGATGGAAATATACAAGGAGATTAATGTTTTCATGCCTGTGAACACAACAACCACTCTGCAGCCCATGAATCGAGAAGTAATTTCGACTTACAAGTCTTACTATTTAAGAAATAAGCCGGGCTCGGTGGCTCAGCCTGTAATCCCGTGCTTTGGGAGGCTGAGGTGAGTAGAGTGCCTGAGCCCGTGGGTTTGAGACCCGCCTGGGCAACTTGGCGAGACCTCATCTCTACAATAAATCAAAAAATCAGCTGGGCGTGGTAGC